CGGGGCGGCGGGGGGCGGGGGGTGCCGCGTCCTGCCTCCTCCGCCCCCGCGCCGTGGTGCGGTCCGGGCTGCGCCCCGCGGGACCGGGATGGGGAGCGGTGCGGTGCGGTGCGGTGCGGTGCTGCGAGAGGCGACCTCCCCCGGGATGCCCGTCGAGGGGCTCGGGGCTGACCCCCGCCCAGCACCCCGCCAGCGCCCCGGGGGCAGCTGGGCACGGACCCATCCTTATCCCCCAGCACCCCCGCCCGGCCGCCCGCTCCAGTGGGACCCTGCTCCCTCCCCCCGGGGACCAGGGCACAGGGTCTCCCCTGGTAGCAAAGGGGCAGAGCCGTGGGTGCAGGATGCCTGCGCCCTGCTTCTCCGGCTGCGGGTGTTTGGGTTGGTCTGTGAGGTGCGGGGTGGTATCTCCGCGAGGGCCCCGATGGGAGGACTCGCCCCAGGTCTCTATGCGAAGCCCCTGGACCAGACGGTCCCTGCAGAGACGGGTCTCGCTGGGCCAGGGGTCTCTGAGGTTTCAGCGCTTGCAGGTTGCCACATCTGCCCGCCACATCTGCGCAGTGGTGTCTCTGAGGTGCGGTGTGTGCGGGCCCCGTGGACGGGGGGTTTCTGTGTACAGCAGGGTGTCCCAGCTGTCTGCGGGATGGGGAGCGTGGCTGGGCAGGGGGCGGTTAGGATCACAGCGAGGCCAGGTCAGGTCTCTAAGGCAGGCAGACACATAACTGTGTCCTGCCTGTCTGGGCTGGGGGTGTCTGGGCTAGTCTGCGAGTCCACGCCCTGGTGTCAGTGGCCCTGCAGCAGAGGCACGGGAGGGCAAGCTGCTGCTGTGGGCGTCAAGAAGCTGCCGCCAACGTGTGTGGAGCAGGGATTTAAAGCCAAAATTCTGCAGCAAAAATAAGGAGGTGGGGGGTTAACCAGCGCCCCCCGCTACAGCAGCAGTGGCAGCTTCCCCTGCCAGCAAGCCTCCGCCCCGTACCAGCCCCAGCCCCAACCCCTGCTGCTCTGCCCTCCCTGCCTGCCTTCCACCCAGCACCACGCCTGCTTTCTGGGGCCGCAGCGTGGAAGGTGGAGGTGGGGGAACGGGAGGGAGGGTGAGGCAGATTCCAGCTCCCCCTGTACAGCCCACCCCTAGCTACACCACCAAACTGCGAATGGAGGTCTGTGCGTTAGGGCTTCCTGGGGAGGCAGGACTTGGTGCGGAGGTGCTGCTGCAAGGGGTGCATTGCTGTCTGCGGTGGGGATCTCTGTGAGCTGAGGCCTCTCTGAAGTGGGGTCACCGTGGGTTGGGGTGACGGTGAGGCAGGCTGTTGGTGGGCTGGGGTCTCTGTGGGTGTGGGCATCTGCTGGAGAAGGAAGACCCCGTTGGGCAGACTTCCCATGAGACGGGCATTTCTGTGAGGTGCGTCTGTGACCAGGGTGGGGTGAGGAGAGACTTCAAGAGTGAGACCCCTCTGCTGGCAGGGTCTCCGTGTGGTCGATGGCTTTGTGAGTGGGTGTTGGTGAAGCAGGTGTCTCCATGGATCAGGGTCCTGTGCGGGCCGGGAGCGATCCGGGCCCTTTTTCGTGCCGCGCGGGCTGTGGCCAGCAGCCCGGGCACGCTGGGTCGGAGAAAACAGGCGACACGCTAGAATTAGGCACGGACGCATAATGGTTGATTAAGATTGTTTACTTACACCGAAGATGGTCGCGGTGCAGGCAGGAAAACTTGCTTGAG